TTTTTTTTTTTTCCTGGAGTACCATTGCATGAAGGCCTTTGCATATAAAATTGGCCAGATAGTGCTCATACTGGTAATCTTAAAAGCTTGGAGCTCTTTCTCCAGGAGACTTGAAGTGTCTTTATGCTTCTCAGCATATAGTTAGAAAGCAAAAGTTTTTTTTATGTTGAGATTTTGTACATAATCATTTTTATAACAGTATATTTACTAGTATGCTGTTAAGTAGTATAACTTGAATTTGTGCTTGTTGACGTAAACGAGTAAAGCACATTTTGTAATGAAGCATCTTTGAGTTATAAATCTGCTGGTTAGTGTTTTTACCCTTTCTCTAGGTCTATCTTCTGCTTGCTTTGTCCACATGCCAGGGTAATAAAAAGCAACAGATGGTATCTAGAAAATCAGTTCTATTTGTTTAGAACACATTTTAAATTCATAAATAGTAAATGTGTTCATAGTGAAGTTTTTTTAAAAAAATTAATCATTTGAAAACAGTAGTGAAACCAGAATAATTCAGTAGGGGGGAAAAAGATAGTATCTTAAAATAAGATGAACAGTATGTCTTGATTATTGAAGGTGCCTCTTAAGAAAGTATATTCTATTACTGAATATAAGGGCTATTTGTAGTTAATTGGATAATTTAAATAAAACATGTCTAATAAATAGTGGCAAAGTAAATGAGATGGGATTCTATTCTAAAGTGAGTCGCTTCTTTTTCATTACAAGAATTTTCCTAACTTTTAAAAAGCAGAAATTGATATATTAATGCATATGTTGCTGAGTTTGAATCACGTGTTTTCAGAAGTTGCTATACCAAAATTAAATGATCGTGAATTGAGCAACTGGGCACTAAAAAATAAAATGAAGTACAGCAACAGTACCTGCGTCATTTCAGGGTTTTGAACTGGTAAGGAGGTGACAAAACCTGTGTTGAAACATTCTTTTGCTGTCTAGAAATTGTGATTCAGTAAAGATACCTTCCTAATTGTTTGCATAGTCATTCTCTGGGCCTTTGATTTACTGCAGCGTTTGGTTACACTTGTATCCTAGTTCTTTTTTTCCACAGAAAACAAGACAAAAACCGAAACCCATAACATATATAAATATTCAGGCTTGTAAATACTGAGAAATTAATTTATTTTCTCGATGTTTTTCTCTTCAGGGAATAAGTGTTATCTTTAACGTTGCACTGGGATTATTAAAAGTGAGTACCCAACTTTAACGTTTTATGCATCACCATGAACAGTATCAGAAGTTAAGATGCCTGTTACAGAACTATTATGATTAAAAAATCCTGACAACTGCCCGTGCCACGCGTGCTGTTGCCTGTCGTGCTGGGCGCAGGGCAGTGCCTTTAGACGGGTGGGACAGCGGGCAATAGAAGGTTGCAGAAATGGAAGCGCACATTATTTGCAGAAAGCTAAAAGATAGATACTTTCTTTGGAGCTTTAGGAAACTGCTGTTGCTTTATTGTCTCTGGGAATAAAGCAGTTGTCCAAAATTTGCTTTGCAGTTACTAATTTTTCTTTTCCTGTTTCTAGACTACCAAGGATGATTTGTTGCTAACTGACTTTGAAGGAGCTTTAAAATTCTTCCGTGTGCAGCTGCCCAAGAGATACCGTTCAGAGGAAAATGCAAAAAAGCTGATGGAGTTAGCATGTAATATGAAGGTAAAGATGTGGTAATAGCAACTGTGAGAATACTTTTGATGGGTACAGTTGCAGCACCTTTATGCAACCTGCTTGTCCCAGTGTAAATACGTTGCAGATGCTTTGCAGTGAAACACAGTAAACCCCAGATTTTCAGAGTGATATGGGCCTGCCTTGAGAACTCAGAAAAGAGTCTAGCTTTCAGAGAGTAATATTCAATGCTCCAAAAATCAGACCACTCAGAAAATCTTAAATGACTAATAGCACTAAAATAAAACAATTAAAAGCATCTCTGCGTTTCTTTGCTGAAATCTGTATCGCATAATAGCTTCAAAAAGGGTAATACCTTTCATTGAGATGAAATGAGGAGATTTAATTTAAAAAGGAGTAAATAATGCAGAAACAGAACACCAGCTTTTCAGACAGAGTGTGGCCATCTTTAATTGTGTATGGGTATGTAATGTTAATGTACTGCAAATAGGTAGCATATTAAAATGCGCTGATAGATTTACAGATCTAGGGAGATGAAGGACTGTGAGTTGGTGTTTAACACTCCTTAGAAATCAAGCTAGGAAAGTGATCTTCAGGTTTATACGTTCTTGGTGTGAGGCTTTGATTTATAATTGTTTCTGGTGGGGAATGTACGCTGCTTTTTTATTAACAGTTTAAATGAATTTTCCCATTCGAGACCATTTTATAATTTATTTAAATAATTACAATAACAGGTTAATCAGTTATGACCTTTGTAGTCTGAGGAGAGTGTCCTTTGTATTGAAATTAATCAAAGTGTTGGCAGAATTGTGTGCTGTCTGGAGCTGCCACGATTAGGTAAAGTTTTGTAAAAATGCAGAAAAATGTTGTTTGTCATGAGCAGTCCAAGTGGGAGGATTACAGCAGTGGCTTCCTTCCTGGCTTTTCGTTTGGGTAGTGGAAAGAAGTGTAAAAGATACTGTGGTTGGAACTAGAGCTCTGACATGTCCTGTGCAAGAGCTTAGTGTGCAGATGTTTCTGAACATGAATCTTTTGTGAGTACCTACTGTTTTCTGTGAGGGTATTTTTAGGCTAACAATCTAATCTAGACTGCCTTTTAATGTGATCGTCACAGCTGTTTGAGTTCTCCAAATCACTGGTTGACTGCTCTTACAGTAAGCGTTACCAAATATTCAGGAAAAACAAAGAATAATTAGAATTTAGGTTTGTACACAGAGGTAGTAGGAAAAGCATTAATGGGAAATCCTACAGAAAGTACAGCTCACATGTAAGCCTTTACAGACTGGTGTAGGAAATCAGATAGATCTGAACTGTGGCAAAGAACTGCTGAGGCTGAAATAGCCTAAAGATGGAACATTCGCCTTCATTGTGTTGAACTGAAAAATACTTCATAAGACTACCAAGGAGTTTGTGAACAAAAACAGTTTGAATAATATGCAAAAGCCCGTCTTTTCTAAGACTCTGCTGAAAGACTATGGAATACTCTGTTGGTCAGATCAAGAGATTTTGCAGGTATAAAAGGGCTAAGGGAATTTATAAGCACATTGCAGCTTTTTTAGAAACTATTTTACCTCTACCACTATGCCCATGAAGGACGGCTGCTAAACTTATATAACAGAAATTGGATATCACATAAAAATGTCATCTCTGGTCCTATGGGAGCCTTCTTTTGAATGGACTAAGATGATGAGGGGACTGGAGCATCTCTTCTATGAAGAAAAGGGAGCTGGGCCTGTTTAGCCTGGAGAAGAGAAGACTGAGAGGTGATCTTATCAGTATGTACAAGTATCTGAAGGGGGGAAGGGGGGGTGTCAAGAGGATAGGGCCAGACTCTTCTCCGTGGTGCCCAGCGACAGGACAAGAGGCAACGGGCAGAAACTGAAACACAGGCAGTTACATCTAAACATGAGGAGAAACTTCTTGACTGGGAGGGTGACTGAGCACTGGCCCAGGTTGCCCCGAGAGGTAGTGGAGCCTCCTTCGCTGGAGATATTCAAAACCCGCCTGGACACGATCCTGGGCAATATGCTCTAGATGGCCCTGCTTGAGCAGGGAGGTTGGACTAGATGATCTCCAGAGGTCTCTTCCAACCTCAACCGTTCTGTGATTCTGTGAATAGAAACATAGAAACCAGAGTTGTGTGTGCACGGTTGGGATACTGTCCCCCAAATATTCCCCCTCCATAAATAAATTAATCTCAGTAATTCCTATTTTGTCATAGAAATTACTCGGATAACTCTCTTATGTATTTCAACTACTGAGGTAAACAGTGATTTTATTATTCTTTTTGGATTTTGATTGTCCACTAAGCCATCTTTCTTATATATAGCTATGTAAGAAATATTCCTAGCCTTTGACATTAAGATTTAAGTTACGGATAGTGATTATTGCGTTATCTCACAGCTGAAAGTCAATTGCTTCTCTAATCAGCACATGTTGTAACTAAGCCTTTATATTAACGCTCTAGAAAAAGCCCTTAAAAATAGAATTTCAGAAAAAAATTACTGGTGGAAAGTTATTGTTTCCTCTTTACAGATATGATGATTCAGTTCTGAAACTGAGCTTTGATGATGTATTTTGTGTATTTAAGGAAGCTGTGACTCTTTCTTTACAGTTTCATGTATATTAAATTTTGGTCGAGTACACTGGCATGGTTCAGATTTTCTTTTTTACTTAAGCTTTGCTGGAGGAACACTTTTGCAGCATCAGTGCCTAAGTACACAGCTTCCCTAGTATGTTAACATTCATGGCATCTTGTATTCCTGAAATAGTTTAACGCAAATCTGCCCATCACAAGATAAATATTCTGCGTAGATTCCAGGCACGTCTTACGTGAAACTAGCATAGGGATTAGGGAATAAGCAGGAAGAAAGTAAGCCATTTTAGCTCATCTAATCATTAGCCATAGGTCTGTCATTAAATATACGTCTAGTTAAGATAACGTGTAATGGTTGCATTTGCCTTTCATATTTCAGAACTTGTTCCTCTTTCTACTGTGCCAAAATGCCCTGCGTTCCCAGCGCTGTTTGCAGCAGTTGGAGCGCATGCGTGTGTGGTACGCCGCACGGCCGTGCGCTGCCTCCTCGAGCGGGATGTGTTTTTGGGGGGCTGCGGGGCAGCACAGGCTGCGCTGCTGGGCTCTGCACAGACGCTTGGCGCTTCCCTATCTCACCCCTGCTTGTTTGCTCTAATTATAATGCTGCAATTCATTGCTTTTCTGACCTAAAATATAAGCCCTTTGCTGTCAATAGAAATCTTCAGCCTTTTTTGTCTGGATGTGTTTTTGAGCAGAAAAGGGTCTGATGTCAAAATAAATCATTTATAGGAAGGGAAGAGGTAGCCTTGCGATTACAACAGCATTCTGCTGAAAAGGAGGTCAGTAAATGATGAGCTGGAGACAACGCTAGATTCTTCTGGTCCCTTCTCATAGTTGCAGTCAAACGTTAACAGAGCTACTGCTGCCTTCTGCACCCCTGAAAAGCTGCAGTTGGACTTGGTTGTGAATTTCTGCCGTCTGTCACCATGCAAACCCAAAGGCCCCCCAACCTTCCCAGAGCACGGGTCCCTCTAAGGCTCCAGTGTCAAAAATTGGTGACAATAGCAACCGTTCTCATGATCACCTCATTATTAACATCTAAAAGCAAAACTGGTGTGATGCACTCAGAAATGTAGAAGATAGAAACATAATGGTATGACTTCCTCCCTTTCCTGTCACGTGGCTGGATGCCTTACTTCTCAAAATCTAACATTGTCCATAGCTTGAGATTTGGTGTAGGAAAACCAACAATTTGAACCATACTTCAGCAGGGACGAAGCAGTGCAATAATAATCTACTGAAGTTATTGGCGTCATTGCGAGTACAGGGTTAATGTCCTGAAGATTCCTCTTGAGTGGAAAGAATAATTTCTGCAGTTGGGATGGGACTGGATTGACTCCAGTTAAATGGACTGGCTTCTCAGAAAAATGTCAACGGAAGTATGGTTAAATGTTTCTGTGCAACTCTCACTAGAGGGAGCTTAGCTCCCAGTTTTCCACCGTTCATTTCAAGTATAACTGTTTAATGATAAAACCAAAGGTAGAAGACACTAAACCATGTTTTGCCTTTTTTCTTTCATTGTGCTTGCTCAAATGGTTTGATATCTTTATCAGACAAGACCTTTTTAAGAGGAAAAAATAACCATCAATCTTTATTAATTTAATTGGTTTACTAACATAATAAAGATTCAAATTTTTATTACTAGAGATTTAATGCAGATGTATACTAACTTACATGTGAAACGCATGCAATGCATGCAGTGGTCTGTCTTGCTAAAGCCCCATAGCACATGGCATACCTGCTACCCGGCACTGGGAAAGGCGCTGGTCAGGATCTGTTGCAGGTTCACTTTGGTGTTCTCTGTGCCTGCAGGACTGGAGCACTGTGCGCAAAATGCAGAACTTAACACGACCTTTCTGCCCCTTCTCACCGAAGGGGAAAGTGAGACCCTGAGAGTCGCTTGCCCCTGCGTTGTGCAGAGCCCGTCAAAGCTGAGAACAGTTTTCCAGTCATCTGAATGTCAGAGCAGTGGGGACAGAGCGTATGCCGCATCTGAACTGCTTGCTGCTGCTTGCCTGAGATACCGAGGCAGCTCTGGGACTGGATTGTTTTCTACTGAGCTTGAACAACACTAGCAGAAACGTCAGCTGAGCCTGCACTTGTCCTTTCAGCATTTGCAGGCTCATGGAAAGTAAACCAAACACTCCTGCAAGTTCAAAAAGTAAACACTTCTAGTGGGTTTCAACTCAGTCTGTTTTGCTGAGCCGTGACTGAAATATCAGATAGTTGTATGGGTGCCGGGGAAAATGCAGGTAGGATGCTCCTATAGATCCTTTTCAAAAGCTTTTCTATGTTCTGCAAAAGGAGAAGGGGAAGGGATACTTCTGCAATTACATTGAATGCATTAGAATTTTTGACCATGTCTAATGATTTGACACTCAAAATTGAGTGAAGGTATTAGCTGTGTTTTGTAAAAAAGGCAAGAGTTCCCTAAACCATAACCCTTTGTGAATTGTATATTCCTTTATCGATGTTCTGGGCAGGAACTAATGGGCTGCTTTAATTTAGATTAGTCAGAAGAAGCTGAAGAAATATGAAAAGGAGTATCATACCATGAGAGAGCAGCAAGCTCAACAGGAGGATCCTATAGAAAGATATGAGGTAACGCACACCTACTCCAGTCTGATTTAACGCATGGTGCCTGTAGGAAGCTGCTACTTTGACTGCTTTTTCTTTCAGCTGTTTTCCGTATTATGTGACTGATTTTGATGCAACAGGGGAATCCGCTACGGGAGCGTGTAGTAAAACTCCATATACTGGCAATGTTAATTGGAATGGGATTGTTGTGAGCCCGTCTTCACAATGAAAAGAACAGTGTGAATTTATATTTTGGCTCATAAAACTGTTTCAGCAGAACCCCTTTTCAGCACTTACGTAGTGGGCTAATTATGTCAAATACTAAGAACAGAAAGAAAACTCCTATATTGACCAAACTCTGCCTTCCATTGATTATAATCCTGTCTTCACTCCTCTCCCCAATATCAAATGATACATGTTGCAGTAAGTGTATAATTATATATATTTTTTTTCTATATGTATATATAGAAAAAGGAATATATGTTATATATAAAATTATGTGCATATATATAACACCAACACACACACACACAAATTTATATATTTTAAGCAGAAGAGTTTATGTGAGCTTTTTTTAACATCTATCTGTGTGCTGGGAACTGTAGCAGAAGAAAAAAGAATGTTTTTCCCAGGATCCTCCTCTCTCTCACCTATTTCCAGCATGCAAATTTTATTTTGAGCCAAGAAAATCAGTACTTGCAGGAAGCTCTTGGCAAGGTATTGATGGCTGAATGACACCCCCACCTATGCATTCTCCAAAAGCATTTCTCTAGCTTAGCAGGTAATAGTTAAGGAGAGTTCTTTATTAGCCTTGAGAATAAACCATTTATATTTCATTTATTTATTTTATGTTTAAATTATGGCTAGCTGGTTTTGTCCTCATTGAATTCCATGCTGGTAGAATTGTCTTTTCGTACTTGGGATATAAGCTGTATCTCTGTGCTCAGGTGCAATAAGTACTGTGTTTAACAGACGAGCATCTGGTAAGAGTTTTCTCTTAATTTCTTTTGTTTTGTTTCCCATAGCGTGATAACCGGCGCCTACAAGAAGCAAACATGAGGCTTGAGCAAGAAAATGATGATCTTGCACATGAACTAGTGACCAGCAAGATTGCTCTGCGAAAGGATTTAGATAATGTAAGACACTTCCTTATGCTGTCTAGTGGAGACAAGGTTCTAAGACCAATTCTTAGTTACCCTTCTCGTTGGAGGTATCAGTCGGGAGAACAGTATTGTACTTTGTAAACTTGCCTTTTCTGTTGGCACAACTGATAAATCCCATATTCTTTGTTCGATATGTTTTCATTCATGTCTTGCCTCCAGGGTTAAGGATTGCCTATATGTTTGTCTGAAGCTGGGCTACTTATAATCCTGTCAGGTCCACAGGTTGAGCGGGTGCAGATTTTGACATTACATGGGATGGGGAGCACCTTTACAGGGTGTCTAATGTGATGCAGAAAATGGTGTTATTGACTTGGATGGGATAGGATTGTCCGTATACTCCATGTCCGTATTGCAGAATGACAATATGGAGGCCTGCCTCAGACAATTCATGAGAGAGAGGACCTGTGACTGAAATGCTGATGTTCTGAAAAGCATACAGAGCAATTTGAGGGACAGGAGAGAAGAAAGTTGCTTTCTCTACGGAGGGAAAGAAAGTATAGCAGGAACTAAAATAGTCAAATCTTTGAATTGTTACAGCGATAAGAGGATAGATTCTGTATTTTGTTTTCCTTCAACTGGTATTTCCACGAGTAAGATTTCACTGCAGACAGGCTTTTGCATAGTGCCTAAAAACTTGAATGTCCAAGTCTGTCTGGCTGTCAGCGGAATCAGTTTTGCAAATACCTCAGGCAACTCTGAAAATATTTTTCTGAAGTCTGCCCATCATTGGTGGTTTTCTGTCAGTAGAGTTTTGAGGAGGAAAGCTTTGGGTTCAGTTTGTGTTACAGGACTCTTGTTAAGCTCACACTCCCATTCCCTTCTTTATATACTCAAGTTTGGGAGATTTTATTAGGATATGCTTTTTTACAGGAGCTGCAGAGACTGAAAGATACTGGCTTTGGTAGTGTGTGTGGTAGGCTAGAATGAATTTAGCCTATCTGCTTGGGGAGATGAGGAGAGGAGTTCAAGCGCTCATGTTTCGCCATTCTTGTTCTGAACCAAGATAAGTGCATTTCTGAAATCTCAAAGGAAACTGACTTTTGCAAATCGTATAGTGCAGGAGCTGACAGGCTTTAAAATGTTTCAGCTTATCTTCTTCAGAGAATTTAAGGATTCCCATGGTCTCCTGGAAACTTTCTCTTAGAAAAGTATTCACTGTCCATGTTGCTGGCAATGGATGAATGTTGCTCCTTATAAGGTTTGTTTTAATGACTTTCAGGTATATTGCATCTGCTGCCCTTTTATTGTTAAAATGTGCTATGAATCATAAAAGTATGTTCCATGCAGAGTTTTCACAAAGCATTGATATGTTCACTTCATATTATCTATGCTTTTTCATTTCATTAAAGGTAGCTCGTAGAAGGCCAGAAAGACTGCCCAGCAGCTGCACTCAGAGGGTAGACCCCAGCAAAAAATGTACTGAAGACATTTTTTGTACCAGTTGCTAACTGTTGTTTGTGGCTGCTTGAGCCCATATGAGGCAGGGTTCTATATGCTATGCTTTTATTTTGATTAATTTGAATAATTATGCTTTATGTGGATTCATTTAAATGGAGAGCTGAAAGAGGAGCAAAACTAAGCAAAATCTTTGAGATAGCCCATCCCCGGGGAGGGGCTGGGAGGGATATGTAGGACCCTGATTAAATCTTCTAATTGGATTCTGAAATCGGAAGTTTCATGTCTACTACTTAGATATCCTGAAAGAAAAGTACCAAAGGACATGGTGTAATACGCCTTTTCTGATACCTCTGTGGCGTGTCTGAAATCTTGCAGCCTAGAAGATCAAAGCAAAGCGTTTGGAAATACAAGAATTTCCTTAATTTCCTTTGCACTATAGCAGAAAATAGGCTTCATTCTTCTGCTGTTGTCGGACTCCAACACCCCAGTTTTCTTTCACTTTAAAACAGCTTAAAACCATGTATAATGAAAAGATGTTCTCTTTGCCTTTGTCATCTTTTTTAAAGGATCAGCAGGACTGCAAGGGTCTAAAATTCACCTTTTGATTCCCTTCTTTTGAAGGGAATTGGTACAGCTAGTGCCTGAACATTTTATATACCGTTTGAATTATTGATCTATTTTTATGTGGAATTCATACACCTATTGGGAAGCACTAAGTTGCTGTGTGTCAGTTTGCTGTGTGACAGGAAAAGGTGTCTGCTTTTGCAGTGATAGTTTTGGGTGGTTTATGAAGAGCCCAAGATTTTTCTTGTTTCTTTTAGGGAAATGTAAAGTTTTCCATCACTTTTATTTTTTTCCTGACACAGCGATACCTTTGTATTTCCACTTATCCAAAATTTATTTATCAAGCACCTATTTTTTGCTGTAGGGTATCTCAGGAAAAAAAAAAAAAAAAAGGTATTTCACTTCACCCGTTAGAAAGGCAAGATCACCTCCAAATGCAGTAATGTGATTTGGCATCAGTTTGTACCATGCAAGAATGGAAACTGCTGAGAAGATTTCTTGTTCCCAAAAAAGACAACTAAACATCTTTATTCTTTAAAAACTGTAGTAAAAAAAGGGATTGTACGCTTTCTGGTAGAACATCTCTTTCCTTAAAGGAGCGGATAATCTTTGACTGTTATGTTTGTGTTGGTAGATGAGTTTTTTCATGCAGTATTTTTGGGATGACTTTGTAAAGAAGGTGCCACATCCAGTGGTAGGCCTCCTAGAGGTTTTTGGTGTTTTTTAAATGTTCCTGAGGCATTTTTCATTAATTTCATTTTCACTGGAAGTTTGGATATTTGCAGGTTGAACTTAGGTTTAAGGTTGTTACAGCCTATTATTGATATTGTATATCATGAACTGTTCTGTGCCTTTCTTTGTCTTCAAAATTTATTTGTCAAATTCCAGGCTTGATGAGAAAGCAAAGATTATTTCTGTAATTGGATTTCTTGGGAGCAATCCCTACTCCAATTTTGCTAAAACTAATCGCTGAATTCAAGGAGCATCTTATGATGATGGAGTGTTGTGATATACTTTGCTAATTTTAATTTGTTCCTGCTTTGCCATTGTAAGTGGAACTTTTGAAAAAAGTAGTTTTCAGAATGTTGGAGCTGTATTGTTATTAATGTATATGAAGAGACTTGTTTTCTTGACAGTGTCCTGCTGGAGCCTGCGCCCATGGGTATCTAGCAGCATCAGCACAGTAAGAAAGCCTCTCTTTAACGCTATACTCCATGTGTTTCAGGCAGAGGAAAAGGCAGATGCTCTGAATAAAGAACTGCTAATGACCAAACAGAAGTTGATTGATGCAGAAGAAGAAAAGAGGCGCCTGGAAGAAGAGTCAGCTCAGGTTAAGGGCAATTCTGTCATTTTCACATTTCTGTGCAGTACAGAAGCAAAAAAAAAAAAAAAAAAAAAAAAAAAGAAAGACAAGTGTGGGAAGGGCTTAATGTTCCAAGTCATGTTTCTGCCTCTTTTGTAGTGTAAAGGACGTCAGCAAAGCAGAATTCTGTGCTTTCCTGGCAGGTGCTTTGTAGGGCAGTGAATTTTTAACTTGAAATCATGAAGGCACAGATTGTATCAAAGATTGCTGCCCAGAGAAGCAGCATAGGATTTCAGCCATCAGTATTTTTTTTAATACTTTCTTTTCTAAACAAGTCAATTTTTTCTAGCAGTCAGAGCCACGAGAGTCCAGCTTTTCCCTGTTTGTGTGGAGCTGAACTAGACCATTGTTCCCTGGTGCAGAGTATAGGTCTGTGCAAAAGAGAGCAAGGTTAAGGAGAAAGAGAAAATACCCTCTGATTTTTTTTTGTCTTTTTAAGGCTGTACATATTTATACTTTTTTTTCTTCCTACAGCTGAAGGAAATGTGTCGTAGGGAACTAGATAAGGCAGAGTCAGAGATCAAAAAGAACAGCTCTATTATTGGTGACTATAAACAGGTAAGCACAACTTAATGTTATCATGTATTCTGCTTCCAAACTGCAAGCCTTTCTTTGGTATTTGAGGAGATTTCTGGAAATAAGCGTAATCTCTGCCATACATTTGAGAGGACATTTTAGCTATTTTAAGTGGAAAGCCAGTTCTGTTTAGCTCTGACAATAGGTGTTGGTAGGTCACCAGTCACTACAGCATCGGTTAGACCCTAATGTTGTTCAAACGGTCTCTTGTAATCCAAATTCTGATCCAAAAAATTCTCTCATCCATCTTCGCTTTTTCTATCAGAAGGTAATCACACTTAAGAAGAAGCCAAGAGACCTTTTTCCTTTCAAAGATTTTGCTTTGGGATTCATGCTCCTGGTCACAGGATATCAAGGGAGCAAATTAATGCATCTATTTAGTGGGCCCATAACCATCAAAACATTCTTAAGTCTGCATCACACAGGTCTTGAGGGATGGATTATTTTTATTTTATTATTATTATTATTATTTTTTACCATTCTTGCTGTCTTGGTTGCTCCCTTTGTCCCAAAGGCAACAAAAAGAGCCACACTTTCCCTAACCTTTTCTGACTCCTTTAACAAGGCCAAACTGCTAATAACTTACATTGAAACCACACCTTCTTCTGCAGTTATAGAAGAATATGTATAGAATGAGAAGAATAAGACTATGATCAATGAAAAGACTTAATGCAGCATCCCAATTTCCCACACTTTTTCAGAGACCTTAAACTATCCATGTTAATATTGCTGTAGCATTGATATGTGCTTTAGCGTTTGTTTGAGAGAAAACTGACATTTATAAATGATCTGGTAACATAGTTTTTCTTCCGTTAGATTTGTTCCCAGCTGAGTGAGCGACTGGAAAAGCAACAAACAGCAAATAAAGCTGAAATTGAGAAAATACGGGTAAGAGGCCAGATAGCACTTCTATAGTAATAGAAGGCATACAATTTATTTCATTACCAAAGGGAAAGTTGAAAAGGAGTTTCTTGTTGACTTACAGTTTTGGAAAGATGATTATAAGGGGAGATCTTGGAGGGGCAACGAGTAGTTGTCAGCTCTCTCCCATGCCCATTTGTTACATACAGATGCTGGTAAATAATAACTATTAATTGCTCTGAGGAGTCTTGTTTTTATCCTGGAGGAGATTCCTCTGGCTGTCTTACCATAAAGTAACATGTAGGTTATACAGAGCCCATTGCTGCAGCAGGGCAATTTTACCAAAAATACAGCCGTGTTTCTGGAGCCCCTAGGCCTGGGCTGGGCTGGAGTTCCTGTTCGGTTGCGTTCTGCAGGAGTTCCCGAGTTTGTAAGTCATTAGTGGTCCCTCTTGCGTTGTGCTGCTCTGCCAGAGCAGAGGCAGGAAAAGGCTTTGATCATATCACCAGCACTTCAATACAAGCATTCACAATCAGGTATTTACTTTAGCAAAAAGTGGATGACTGTGAACATTGCCGGGAGTTCTTCAATAAAGAAGGCCGTGTGAAGGTTGACAGTTCTGCCAAGGAGGGTTCAGATGAGGACACGGATGAGGAGAAGGAAACTCTGAAAAACCAACTGAGGGAAATGGAGCTTGAGCTGGCCCAGACCAAACTGCAGCTAGTGGAAGCGGAGTGTAAAATACAGGTAATGCTTTGGGGGTTCATTCTATAGCGCACGGTATGTCTGCGCTCATAGGAAAATGTGTTTGTTGTAGAGGGGTTGGAACCCAGATCCTGTTGGTTGAAACTGCAACCTGCTATTTCCTGTATGGGTTAGTTAACCAAACATTGGGTTTGAAAAATATAGTGTATGTAGATAAAATAATTGAAATAGTATGAAGTGTATTTACCAGTTGCTACAGCATCCAGACATCTGCCTGGCTGCAGCACAGTACTTAGTGACTGATCTTCTGCAGCTACTTCGATGAAGTGCGGGGGTTTGCTTTTTTTGTTTAGCTTTAACAAAGTCCCGAATCACGCATTTCCTTTATTTCATAATAAGTGTTGAATTAAGAAGTAGCACGAGATATGTTGGCCATATTAATGGCTTTATTAATAAAGCGTGATTGGAAAGCGCTCTAGATACTGGAGTAAAATATAAAAAAAATTGTTCTTTGTGCCTCAGTCTGGCATGTCATTGCTTCTTCATAGGCACTCAAAAGCTAGTTTGCAGAAAGGCCACTTCCTGTGGGAATACTTCCTTCTTAGTCTTTTGATAGGAATGAATTAGAGGATATGGATGTACTAATGAAATTTGGATGTTTCACAAAGGGCAATAACACAAGACTTGTTTCGCTTTTTAAAGGTTTTTATTTCATCTGCTTGTGGTGTTACTTTTAATTTATGTAAGACTTGTTTACCTTCTGCAGTGGCCAAGAGATTGTAGATGTCCTAGAGCCTTCTAAGTTTAACTTACATAACTTTGTGCTGTGTATAAATAACAAATCAAATAAATCACTCTCCTGTTTGCAGGATTTGGAGCACCATTTGGGTCTGGCATTGAATGAGGTACAAGCTGCAAAGAAAACATGGTTCAACAGAACAATAAGCTCTATAAAAACAGTGACTGGAGTCCAAGGAAAAGAGACTTGTTGAAAAGCAGAACTCTGTCAAACACACCTTCTTAACACAACACCTTTTGTTGCCTTCCTTGGCCAGATGTTTAATTCTGTGACATGAGAGGACCAGAATGTAAATAAGATAGAAACACAGCATGTCAGGATTCTATAGGTCAGTGATAAAGAGGATGGAAACACAAAAAAAAGGCTTTATTGCTAGACACGGGATCTTCATACTACTGATATTTAACAGGTGTTGTAGCTAGATTGAAGCTCTTCAGAGAAACACTCCATTCTGCGGTCTGGCTGGAGGCTTTTCACAGACTAGGTACGAGAACTTACCAAACCCTAATTGTTAAGTTTACATATGATAGGTTTTTTTACAGTTATAACCTTTTTTAATATTTTATTTGAAAGGAAAAGTGTCACTAACAAAGCAAAAAAAAAAAAAAAGAAAAAAGAAAAAAAAAAGAAAAATAGAAAAAAAAGAGAAAACTTTAGCAAGAACTACATCAGTGCCAGAAAGCAGTCCCCAGAGGTAGGATATGGAGAGTAGGAGGTGACATGTTTTGCTTTATGAATGGGGATGATTTCAGCATTCCTGTTGGAGCAACCCCACTTTGTTTTAGTAGATGCAGCATCCATCTCTCAGTGTTTGGCATTTCTTTCTGTTACTAATCAATTCTATGCAACTCTGGGCTTTTTTGGCATGGGCTGCCAAACAAATTCACAACCTGAGGTTGGGAGCTTTGTCTAAGTGCTAGACGAGAATAATCAGAATTCTTGGCAAATTTCTGTTTCACTTTGGTGTCGTGTTGTTAGTTCCACACATCAACGGCATTAAAACCCCCGACACCAGGACTGCTAAAAAGTACTAATTATGTGGATGATCTGACATTTAAGTAAGTCTTTTTGTTTGTTTTTTGTCGGGTTTTTTGTTTTGTTTTTGTTTGGTTTTTACCCAGCTGTAGCAGGCCTTCTGTGAAGCTCTGAGAAAGCTTCCAGGATTTAGTTTTGCACATAGGTATGAATGGGACAAAGAAACAGTAAACTGAGATATATATGAGGCAAAATCACTGCGTGAGTGTAGCTGCGAGGATCTATAGCTGTCCAACTGGCTTCCCTGGTAACATGTTCAGAGGTTGTGTAGGTCGTTTTCCACACTCGATGCAGTTGCACTAATAGGTGCTAAACATGCTTGGATTTCTTATCCGTTGGATTGTCTTGAGTTCTCACCAGAAAGCTGTAGAATGGAGTTTTGCACCTTGTAATTTTTTTTTTAATTTATAATGGTTTGTGTTATGCCGAAGTATCTATTGCATCAGTGGATAAATTTTGTGTGCAGTGTGAGTATAAGCTGGTAACAATAAGAGGCACTGGTTTGTATATAAAGATATTTGGTTTATTTTGTATTTCTACCTTTTTCTTGTTTACTGTACTAATGCTAGCTAATGTACTCTGTAACTACAGAATAGAACATGCTATGTCCAAGCTTTTTTCCTTAACTGCATACATTATCTCTATTGTTTAATACCAAAAAAATACTGTAACTCCATCAATATTAGATGCGTGGACATTGTGGTAGCATAGTTGCAGTGTGTATACTTTATGAATTGAAATATAAACTAGTAAAATTGTATAACTATTTTGTCGTTTCATTTCATTTTAACGGAAAAGTCATTAAATATTTTGCAATACAGAACCAATTCTCTCTTTAAAATGGAAGCTTTGGCATCTGCAAGCCTTTCTAAGGCCCAAATGATGTTAATGCTGCAAAGGGCCTGCTAAAAAGACTGCATATTCTTGGAGCTGCCAACACTGCCTTATATAATAAAATCTAGGTTTTGCTTTGAAAAAAGAAACTGTAAAAATGACCTTGTTCACCTTGAGGCTTGTGACTCAGTATTTCTGACATATGTCCAATTTAGAATGTTTTTTCCTTGGCCCTCCACATTCTGCTTGGATCTGCAGAAAAATGTAGGCCATTTCGGCTCATCATCATCAGTAACATAAATCCTGTGAGGTCAAACGTTCTTCACGTCATCTTCACTAGGATTTTTTAGTCATAGCTGAACATAGGGTTTAGCTGTGCAACTGGATGACTACACTAATTGGGTCACAGTGCAGCTCAGGCTCCCATAGCTGTGTGTGTTCTGCAGAGATAACAAGTAGTAAAAATGTATTTTTGTCACTGAAATGACTAAAGGTGACTCTGAAAGCAGCCCTGCTCTGGGAGGCTGTTATCACGCTGTCACTTTTTTAACCATATTTTTGCTTTAAGAGAATGGCATTATAAGGTTATATTATAAGGTAGTCTTTGCTACTTTTTCTTTTACAGAGGTGCATCCCTTGATAATTTCAGCTCTGCAATTTCTCAACAATTACAACTGTTGGAGGAAGTTTGAAGGTAATAGGGGAAAGGGAAAAAAAAAAAAAAAAAAAACAAACTCAAAGTACTTCATCTATTTGTCTTCCCAAAGAGACTAGGAAATAGTGTAACTCTCCTTCAAAAAAAGCTGCTTAAATCAGAGGAGGAAAAAGCTGCTTTTTTGTTCAGATCTCATCCATTCTCTAAGTAAACATTGCCTCAAAATTGCATGTAGCATACGCTATTCATTTTAGTATGGATAATAGAACACACATAATGGGAAACTAATTGCTTCATGAAGTTTTGTAAGAAACATGTTGTAACCAGTTTCCAGTCATTCTGGGTTATTTCAGATATCTCTCTGAAGGATCTTGATGCTTGGAAATAAATATTGCCTATATTACTCCATTTAAAGTATCTGCAGCTAATTAAGAAAAATGGGTCCTGTGCTGAGACACGTATCTTCTGAAATTCAATTACATGTGAAATACAACAAGGAAGCATGTCATTTTTAAGATGAGGAAGATACGTTAACAGATGTTCCAGACTCTGAATAAGCAAGGTAAAAAGCGACATCAAGTCAAATCTGCTGTAAGCAAGAGTATTTTACAGCTCTGTAAGTGAAAAGGAATGAGTCTATTTGTTAGCATTTTTGGCATTTAATAAGATGTCTAGTTATCTGCTGGTAGTCAACTATCTTTCTGTTCACATCTGCCTCTCAGCTGATTTATGTACTAAACTCATTGTAAGTGCCACTGTCCTGATGTTATTTTTTTGTCTTGTGTGCTCCAGACCCCAGCTTCCTAATGCTTTGCAATTCTGTGCTGCATCAGTACGTTTCTGTGGTTTCGTAGTACGGTAGCTCTAGTGTTATCATCTCATTTTTGCTGCAGAATATTTACAGCTTGGCTGTTGAGAGTCTTCAGCGGGAAGTGAATATTCCAGATCTGTCAAAAAGTTTTACCTTTACATGTTGCTGGTAGGCCTTCTTGAAATTTATATAACCACCTCCTTGACTTTTTTTAGCTGCCCTTCTTATCCATGGCAGTGATATAAAGTTCCTGTTATCAAGAGGAGGATTTCACTCCATCTGTTCGACAGCTTGGCTTGCATTCATCCAACCTAACTTTAGACACTTCACAGAGGTGCCTAACTTAAGAGCTTAAGCTGACTAAGTTTTTTCAGTAGTCATTGGGGAGAGAGAGGCACGTTGAGAGGCAGGTGGTTTTGCCCAGCCAACGTCCTTGTGCTTTCATTGCACAAGGAAGCTAATATGAACCAACTAAACTAAAGGTCTTTCTTAAATAAAAATTTAATCAAAATGTGGCATCTGTGCACACATACAATATTGCTTTTGGTTTTAAATGTTCCTATTTTTTTTCTTTTCCCCCCATTTTTTATTGCGCAATATCTTCCCTTCTCAAATACCTAAGATGGTCAAGGACTTTTGAATACAAAAGCGTTTAAAATACTGCTAGATTTTCCTGCTACAAGTCCTTGATGACTTCGAGGAGTGAGGATTTGATTTTGCTGCGTTTTCTACTAATGAAATAAGACGAAACGTAATCCGGTACTGTAAGCTTTTTTCCAAGGATAATCTGGGCACACAGCTGCAGCCAAGTTACACGAACGGTGGGAAAGCATGGACTGCAAGAATAAAAGCAGGATTGCATCTGTTAAGAAAGCCTGTGTAGTATTTGTTGCCTGACTTTGGTATAATGTTGGAAGTCGAGCGCTTTCTTACAACGTTATAGGGCCTCGCTGAACGTGTGAGCAGAGTCGCTACCTTGCAAATGCGTGCTTAGCGTATGTAAGCCAATTTCTGCTACTGCTGGAACTGAGAGGTGGGTAATATGTGCAAATCGGTTGTCTGCGTCCAGCTAACGCTTACTTCTCATCCTTCGTGTACAGAGCTAACAGCACTGGCTGGAAACCGCTTCCCCTTGACCTGCAGGTTGAACTGCCCTGGAAATGGTTTTCAGGGGCACGAACGTGTTTTACGTTTCAGCTCACTGACACAACTGAAATGGAGGGCTGGAGTGACAGCGACTTTGCAGACCCTTTTTAGAGGGAAGTGGTGAATCAGCTGCTGAGCAACGGGCGTTCACCGCGATAGGAAAATGGGCTCGATACTGTGAAAAATCTGCTTGGGACTGAGCTAATCCTAAAATTTGAACAGTTTGAGGGACCGGTTTGCTGGGGACTGATTCAAAGCGGCCTTTCGAAAAGGCTGGGTTTGGATTTTCTTCTGAAAGCTCTCTGAGAGCGGTCCGGGCCTCGAGGCTCTTCGTGCTCCACCCTAGGCCCTGGTCGTCCTCCCGACAGACGCGCTGTTGTCTCTGCGAGGAGAATTTTTATTCTTTGCCATATGCAAGCAAGGGGCCATAACGAGCAACCTAGCAATGTAGGCTGGAAACATGAAAAGGCCTCTAAAAGTCTTTTTATTTTTTTTTTTCCCCCCCAAAGGAGGCCAGCGTGTTTTCTGGTGCTGTTACTCCACCGCGTGCCCTTGAGGTGCCGCCTCGCCGCCGCCTTTTGCAGCCGGGCCAGCCACAAGCCCTAGGCGCTTTCCAGGCTCCTGTAACCAGCCGCAGGCAGTCTGACCTGGGCACTCAAGCAGTGCGGTTATAAAGCCTGGAAGTGAAGGACACTTGGTTTGTTTGCCCCGAACTGAGGCCCCCCCCCCTTCCACTTTTCCCTGTTTGCTTTACTCGGGAAGCCGCAGAGGTCGGTTTCCAACCAAACCCAATGAGCGTCTTCCTCAGGCCCCGGGGAGGGACACCCCCAGGGTGGGGGTGCTGGCGCGAAGAGAAAACCCCGACGGGCGACG